CGACGGGGATGTGTTGTCGTTTGTCGTGAACCAAGCGTAGGTGCTCCACAAAGCGGTCTCCGAGCCTCCGCTTGGTCTCCCCAATGTGGCCTCCTCTACATCGGGAACAGCAGATACAATGTCCCGCCTCCTTGACCTGTCTGTCTTCTCTCCCACATATCTGCTCCACTATCTACCTGCTATCACCGTCCCCCCCCCGTCTATTTATTTCAGAGCCCCCTTCCCCTCCCTCATTTCTGAAGAAGGGTCCAGACCAGAAACGTCAGCTTTCCTGCTCCTCTGATGCTGCCTGGCCTGCTGTATTCCTCCAGCTCCACACTGTGTTATCTCTGACTCCAGCATCGGCAGGTCCTACTAACCCAACGCTTATTATGTTATCTAATCATCCTAGTGAAGATGGTAGGTAAGACGTTCCAGGATTTTGAGTCTCAGACCATGTATTTTCAAATCAAGACCAGGTGTAACTTCAAAAAGAACTTGCAGGTGGTATTGGTGACCTAGTTTGGAAGGTGCTGTCAAAATCTTTGTATCGTGCTGCAGTATACCTTTTCCACGGTTCAAACTGTAGCCATGGGGCACCTATGGTGCAAGCATTGAATGTTTATGGTGTTACATGGGGTGCAGATGAAATGGGTTGCTTTGTTTTGAGAAAGGTGATGAGCTGCTTGAGCATTGCTGGAGCTGCAGTTACCTAGGCAATTAGAGAGTTTTCTACAATGCTTCTCAATTATGCCTTTTCAGATCGTGGACAGATATTGATGAGACTGGAGGTTGAAACACTTGGCATGGAATTCCCAGGATATGACCTGTTCTTGTGGCCGTATTATTAGTGTGGTTAGTCCTGTTCAGTTTCTGGTCAGTGGTATCACCAAGATGCTGCTGGTTGTGGATTTGGTGATTAGTAATGTAGTTGAAAGTTGAGGGAAGCTGTTTATACTCCCTCCATGTTTGAAACAGTCATTGTCTGGTATTTACATGGCTCCGATGTACTTGCCACATATCAACCAAAGCCTGAATGACGTTAGTATCTTGTTGCATATGGGTACAGACTACTCGGTTATTTGAGGAGTTGCGAATGGAGTTGCAGTGACTTGTCACAGTGATGATGTAAAATAATGGACGAGTGAATTTTGAATTCCATTTCCAATTTAATACCTCACATCTTTATTGATTGAAATGGTTTTGAAAAGGGACAAAAGACACTGACTTTAGATGACCACAGGTGCACAGTTGGTCAAGATTCATGAAGGTGGAGATGCTGGCGTTGGACTGGGGTGGACCAAGTCAGAATTCATACAACACCAGGTGAACTTGATGTAGGGGCTGCGCTCTGAAAACTTGTGATTTCAAATCAGAGATAGCAGGAACTGCAGATGCTGGAGAATCCGAGACAACAAGGTGCAGGGCTAGATGAACACAGCAGGCCAAGCAGCATCTGAGGAGCAGAAAGGCTGACGTTTCGGGCCTAGACCCTTCATCAGAAATTCAGAAAATCAGATTTCAAATAAACCTGTTGGACTATAACCTGGTGTCGTGTGACTTCTGAAGTTTCATGAAACCAACATGGATTAGACTAAAGACTGTTTGAACTGAAATTGACATTTTAGACTTAAACGGTTGAACTAGCGACGTTTTATTAATGTTACTGAACATGCAATCCAGAGCCCCAGGATGACATTCTAGGGACATGGATTTGAATCTCACCATGGTAGGAGGGTGAAATTTGAATTTGGAGCAGCATGGTGGCTCAGTGGTTAGCCCTGCTGCCTCTCAGCACCAGGGATCTGGATTTGATTCCAGCCTTGGATGACTGTCTGTGTGGAGTTTGTGCATTCTCCCATTGTCTGCATGAGTACCCTCTGGGTGCTGCAGTTCCCTCCTTCTGTCCAAAGATGTGCCGGTTAGGTGGATTGGCCATGCTAAACTGCCCTGTAGTGTCCGGGGGTCTGCAGGGTAGTAGATTAGCCAGGGGAAATGCAAGGTTACAGGGACAAGGTGGGGAGCTGGGTCTGGGTAGGATGCTCTTCAGAGTTTGGGTGCGTGCTTGATGGACTGAATGGCCTCTTCCCACATTATAGGGACTCTGATTGAGATAAACTATTCCCGCCTTGGGTTGCGTGAAAAGACCCAAATCTCCTATGTGACTTGTACCATTGTGATTTGGTTTTGCATGTTGGACATGAAAACATCGTCCACTTGTCGAATGTGGAGACCAAGAACTCAGACAGGTGAATACTCAAGGTTGTATTTCAAGAAGTTCCCTTTTAGCGGAGCAGGAGGCATGAAACTAAGGATGCAAGACTGTTCATAAGCTTGTCTCCCACTCCCTGACTCCCCCTCACTGTCTCTGTCTTCCTCTCTATGTCTATTTATATATCCCCAATGACATTAATGATCAGGAATGAACATCCAGTCACCAAGAACTTAGACAAGCGCTATTCACTATGGCTGTTGGAATAAGACTTAATTAACCAACTGTGGTCTTAGGTTAAAATTATACGCTTCAAAAAAACCTCGCTGTATATTCATTTTGTGTGTATATGTGTGTGCTTGAGGCAACATGAAGGCTCTAGACTTGATGTTGTGTCCTTAAGATTTCTGTTAGCAGATAATAACTTTGCTCTTTGTTCACTCAAAACCTTATAATTGGCCACTTATTTCTCCGGTGAAAATTACTTAACCCATTGGTAGGAGGTATAACTGTGTGTTTAAAAGAATTTAAAACCTTTTGTCGTGACCAACCGGGAAGGTGGAGATATTGGGAGCTGATTTGCTCCGCCTCACTTGGCCATAACACACTGTGCAATGCCCTCCACAGACCTTGTGTTGGAGCAGAGGCCATTGATAAAGCCGATGGAGGATGTTGGGTCTGGGTTACTGACTTGGTGGCCTGTTCTGAGGAAGGGTCACCGGACCCGAAACACCAGCTTTGTTTTTTCCTTCACAGATGCTGCCAGACCTGTTGAGCTTTTCCAGCAACTTCTGTTTTTTGTGCCTGATTATGGCCATTTGAGGCTAATCATCATCCTGTAGGCTAAGTATGACTTCAGTCTGTTTCTCTTCTGATGAGTTGCATTTTAATTGGGCTGTCCTTGATATCTTTGCTGGAAAAATCAGTCCTGGTCACTTCTGGATTTTGGCTGCTTTGTCCATGTTTGAACCAAAGCTGCTGTACAGCTAAAAGGCCCTCGTGAAACCCAAACAATCTGTCAATCTCAGGTTGTTACTGAGCAGGCTATATTTGACTGGGGTCACTTTAGGTCAAAATAAAAACCAAAAGGACTGCAGATGCTATAAATCAGGAACGAAAGCAGATGTTGCTGGAAAAGTTCAGCAGGTCTGGCAGCATCTGTGACGAAAAAAAATCATTAACGTTCCAGTGCCCCTTCCTCAGAAATTCTGTTTTTGTTTCAGTTTAGGTCAGTTAGTTGGGTGGGCTGCTGTGTGATGCAGAGTGAAGCTAACAGCATGGATTCAATTCCCACACTGGCTGAAGTCACCACAAATGACTGTTCTTCTCAACCTCTCCCCTCTCCCCTCTCTTGAGGCTTGGTGACCCTCAGGTTAAACCATCACCTGTCGCCTCTCTCTGTTGAATGAGAGAGCAGCTCTGTGGTCTGGCAGCACTATAGAAATTTTACCTATACCTTTTTAATTGCTAGCACTGGTAATAAGCTCCCCTTCACCTTGTTATCTGGGATGATCTCCAAACTGCAGGTGATGTGCTGATGGGCCTTTGATTTTGACCCTAACCCTGCTTCAGTCTCCTTCTGCCAGGTCAACTTGCCTTAAAGGCACGCACAGACTGCTGCCTGCTGACCACAACAGCTTAAGGAGGAACAGAGAGACCAACAGCACAGCACTAATGAAGAGATCCTGTCACTTAATGTGGCACCCGCGGCTAGCAGCTTTGGGTATTGTCACTGCACGCACCTTTTTGAAGTTAGTCTTGAGTCAGAGTCACAATGTGATGAGTCACTGGGTACATGTGAGCAGCAATCAGGCTGGGGTGGTGTTTGGCAGCTCATGAGAGGCAGGAATCATGAACCATTTGAACTGTAGAGAACTCTGGGGCGGTGCACATGCGCGCGCACACATGTAGACGCACACTCACACAGATGTGCACGCGGACGCACAGACTCACATGGCCATGCACACTGATATACACACTCTCAAACACACATAGCTGTACGTATACACGTGCACGCACACATACATACGCACGCAGGATACAGCAATACTCTCTGGCAATTGCAGGAACTCATTACATCGCCTCCAAAGTCCAGAGTACTTCCAGATTCATGGAATGAACAGAATATTTTTGTTTTGAAAGTTCATTTTACCTACAAGTTGTGTCTTTAGCTCTTTAGTGAGCAATGATGGGTAGCCCAGCATGCTCTTTGTAGAGTGTTGTGAAAATTTTTTTGCCTGGGCATGTGGTCCAAAATAACCAGTCAAGCTGATGTCATGATGGTACTGTGTCATTTGCTTCAGATACCTAAAGGGGGCGTCCTTCTGGGGCATGCACAAGGCTTGTGCAATGTGGCCTACATTTATACCAAGGAGAAAAAATTCCTGACCACTCTGTTTTGGAGAATGTGTTAGCTAGGATATCATTGAAACAGAGGAAATAGGACCAGGAGTTGGCCATTTGGCCCTTCGAGCCTGCTCCACCATTCAATATGGCTGATCATCCAATTCCGTAACCTGTTCCCACTCTTGGCCCATACCTTTTGATCCCTTTGGCCCTAAATTTAGATCTAACTCCTTGAAAGCATCCAATGTTTTGGCTTCAACTGCTTTCTGTGGCAGAGAATTCCACCCCACTCTCTGGGTGAAGACATTTCTCCTCATCTTGGTCCTAAATGGCCTACCCAGTATCCTCAAACTGCGACCCTGGTTCTGGATGCCCCAGTCATTAAGAACATCCTCCTGTTCTGAAAAAATCTATGCATGTTATTTTAATGCATATGCAATTGAAAATTGGAAGGAGTTTTGTACCTTGATCAGATTTCTTCAGTGGAGAGCGATAAGCTGCATTTGTAAAGCACCTTAACTATGGTAAGATGTTCTACGTTGCTTTACAAGGAGGTGATATGACAAACGTTGAGGCTGAACCAAAGAGGAAGCTGTGTAAAATAAGAGAATAAATATTTGCCAAGAATTAGGTTTTGGGTAATGTCTTAAAGCAAGGGCAAGAGCTGGCGCGAAGGCAAAGTTACAAGAAGGAACCTGAGTGTAGGTAGGACCTACCGTCAGAAATAGATAATACGCAACTTGTCTGTCAAAGAGTGCTGCTGCTGTGCTCCCAGTGCCAGTAATGATGAGTTAACAGATCATTGCTAAATTCTTCTGGGGAATGAAATGAATGGGGACAGATGAACAGAACCGTCAGGGCAGAGGATGCAGGTGCATAGTTCCTTGAGAGTGGAGTTGCAGGTAGATAGGGTAGTGCAGAAGGCATTAGATATGCTTGCCGTTATTGGTCAATGCATTGAGTATAGGAGTTGGGAGGTCATGTTGCAGCTGTACAGGACATTGCTGCGGCCACTTTTGGAAGATTGCATTCAATTCTGCCCTCCCTGCAATAGGAAAAATGTTGTTAAACTTGGAAGGATTCAGAAAAGGACTTTTCCAGTGTTGGAGGGTTTAAACTACAGGGAGAGGTTGAATAGGCTGGGGCTGTTTTCCCTGGGACATTGGAAGCTGAGGGGTGACCTTATTGAGGTTTATAAAATCATGAGGGTCATGGATAGGGTGAATAGCCAAGATCTTTTTCCCAGGGTAGGGGAGTTCAAAGCTAGAGGACATGGGTTTGAGGTGAGAGGGGAAAGATTTAAAAGGGAACTGAGGGGCAACTTTTTCACGCAGAGAGTGGTGCGTGTATGGAATGAGTTGCCAGAGGAACTGGTGGAGGCTGGTACAATTACAACATCCAGAAGACATCTGCATGGTTACATGACTTAGGAAGGGTTTAGAGGGATATGGACCAAATGCTGGCAAATGGGACTAGATTTATTTAGAATATCTGGTCGGCATGGACGAGTTGGACTGAAGAGTCTGCTTCTGTGCTGTACAACTCTGACTCTAAATCCAGTTAAAGTATAACATAACTTCTTTTTGTTCTATGCCCTTATAAATTAATGCCAGAATACTGTATGTTGCAGTACCTGCTCTCTCAGCCTGTCCCATCTCTTCAGTGGATTATACACACATACATCCAGGTCCCTTTTGTTCCCACACATCTTTGTTGTGCCCTTTATATCACCTACTGTTCTTCCTATCAAAAGGAAATATTTAACCATTGTACTCCCTTTTGCATCCCTGATTTATAAAGATAAGCTCAGTATGGAAAATATGATCAAGTTTAGTCAAATAGAAATATTTGTAAAGGTTACCTGTGCAAAATGTGGAAGATGCTGGATGAGTACTCTGCAGGTCTTTGGAATGGTAGTCGGGAGCACTGTTTACAAGCAACTAAATTCGTTCACTGCATATAACTTCTGTGTATAAATCCCAGATTTTCTGTCATCAGCAATATGCTTAAAGCGAACATACCTTCCTGGAATTAAAGTGCACACCAGTTTGTTATGTTGGAACTTGTCAGTTTTGAGAGCCAACAGTGAGAGAGCTTAGGTTCAAGGCGGGTCTGTGCATGTTGGTAGTAAGCATTCTGAATAACTGGAACCCTCAGTTGCTTACCAAAACTGCAGTTTGCTTATATATTTTAATACTTCTGAAAACAAAATGTTGTTGTAGCCTCTCGATAAAACTGTGCAAGGTTGAAAAGAAAGTAACGATACATAGAGAAGTTAGAATTTGTTTGTTAACTGCTGCAGGATCTTCAGTGGATTGCATGACATTAGCCTTTGTTTCAAGGGTGAAATGACAGTTGTTAGGATCACAAATTCCTTTCAAATGAGAAAAGTTGATTTTGATCTCACCCCTCCATGCGCGCAATCTTCCTTAGGTTTGGGTGACCCGTTCCTGTTGTGTAAACCGAACAACTCTTTGTGAATAATCTGAATCAGATTCTGTTTTATTTTTACGTGCCAGAGGACCTTGGACTGCCCTCTCACTGGAGGGAAATGACTGGTGGTTTAATTTGAGTGTCTCCATACCTCGAATGAGAGGAAGAGGTTGAGAACCTTCATGTTCACCTTGGGCGCTGCAGGGAATTGAACCCATGCTGTTTGCATCACTTTGCATTGCAAACCAGCTGTCCAGCCAACTGAATATAATGGACCTGGATCAGACAGGTTCAAACACACCTGCTTGAGCAATGACGCATGACATCTTTGCATATTTTCTTTACTACTATCTTGCATAATCTTGCTGTGTTGTCAATGAGTTAATCAATGGTTCCAAAGACGAATCACACTGGACTCAAAACTTTTACATGGTTTCTGTTTCCACAAGTGCTACCAGACCTACAGAGCACTCCAGCAAGTTCTGTTTGGATGAAGTTGCTCCTTGGGTTGTTCAGTATTCATTCATGGGAAATTCTATTCTACTTTTGCAATGTCTCCCATTACTTTTAGAACCCAGAGGCATGGGCTTTAACTGTGGTGATGTTTCTTTGCAAACGACAAGCCTAACCCTTACCACAGGACCTTTGTAAACTCTTGATTGTATACCCAAGTCCATTTCATGCTTTTAAATTAACAAATGTGTTGTGATATATGCTGGACGAACTTTTTTTTTGAGTCTTGATTATTTAAAAGAATTAACACCCTGCGCGCTCCTTGAATGGTTAATTCAAGGGCTCTTGCTCCTTAAGAATCTTCTGAGTACAGTATGATATTACCTGGATAGTGGCTATGTTTAATTTATATGCAGGTAAGGGGCATTAATTACAGTTTCATCTGAGGATGTGTAAGAAGATAATTACTGAAGTCATGGGTGTTTGAATTGGGAGTTACTTTCGGTGTTAATGTACAGGCTGTCGTTCGAAAAATTTCTCCAAGAAAATCAATTTATGTGACCAATATAATAGTCACCAATTTGTACTGCCATTGGCATGTCTTAAACTCCTGCACATCTTTGCAACACAACCCTTCTCTCCTACTTCACCCCTTACGCACAGTTGTCATGTACCAGGAAGTCAAACATGCATTTGTGGGGTTCCAAATTATGTCTGACTTAAACTTTGATCATCTGCATGACCTTCGTTTAACTGGAGGAATGGGTTCATCCTGTAGAACAGTTATAGCTCAAGAAGAAGCTACTGGTCACCTTAGAAATACTGGCACATGTGAGCAGGAACTCTCAGGGAAGACGAGCTTTATAAGATAAACACAAACTTTCAGAATCTCAACAAATGTAGAGATCTCACAAACTTGGATCAATTAAGAGAGCATCTCAATTTGCGGCGTATGTTTATAGTGTTTAACTCTCCGAATAACATTCAAACACAGTAAAGATTGGCTGCACCATTAACCTACTCCAACTGTAGCTTATACCATTATTTTGTGGAAGCAGAAAATTTGAAGTCTATCTACTTTTGTAAAAGTATTCTGTCTGTAAGGTTTTATCATCTACAAAGGCGAAGCCTGTAGGACCTATCACATACTTAAGCTTGTTCTTTGAAGTTTGCATCAGTTTAAGTGCATTTTCATAAATTCAGAAGACTTTATGAATTTAGCAATCAAAAAGTCATGTAACAAAGTCTTTATTTGTTCAGTTTAAGGTGAGCGGGATAAGATTTAAAAGGGCCCTAAGGGGCACCTTCCTCACACAGAGAGTGGTGTGTGTATGGAATGGGCTGCAAGAGAAAGTGATTGAGGCAGGTACAATAGCAACTTTCAAAAACATTTGGATAGGTACATGGATGGCAAGGGTTTAGAGGGATACGGACAAAGTTCGGGCAATTGGAATCAGCTGAGTGGGCACAATGGTCAGCATGGGCCAATTTGGGCTGAAGGGCCTGTTTCCATGCTGTATTACTCTATGACTCAATGTACTTTAGCAGATTTTTCTAGTGATTTTCACACAGTAATTGAAGTGCACTGGAGGAGTGCTGATTGAATTTCATTTGAGCTTGTTTAAGGTAAGCAAATAATTGAAAAATCAAAACATTTTAAACACTAAGTTGACAATTGAGCAGCTCAGTCCAAAGGTTTTGCTATCCTATTTGTTCTACATACCTTTAAGAAATATATTTTGAAGTTAGTTTTAAAATTTGTTTGGTTGATATTATGTACCTATCGCCCCATTTGTTTCATTTTATAATTTCTAATCAACCTGTTGGAATCATAGAATCCCTACAGTGTGGAAGCAGGCCATTCAGCCCAGCAAGTCCACACTGACCCTCTGAAGAGCATTCCAACCAGCCTCAACATCCTGACCTATCCCTGTAACCCAACATTTCCCATAGCTAACCCACCTAGCCTGCACATCCCTGGACGTCATGGACAATTTCCCGTGGCCAGTCCACCTAACTTTCACTTCTTTGGACTCTTTGGATGTGTTATGACTCATTTCTGGAGTAGGTAGGTCTTGAACTGGGAATCTTCTAGCTGAGAGTAGGGATGCTACCTTTGCACCACAAGCACCCCTACTAGTCTCGTATGAGACTTGGCAAGCCCATTCCTGCCACCTGTCCTGTTTTTAGAAGTGTTGGGTGGAAGTCAATAGGGTGAGAGTTACAGGAAAGGTTTGGTATCTTGAAGCTGAACCTAGTGTCTAAACAGCAAAATCTACTTGGTGTATTTACTCAGGGGTCACCACCATTAGAACCCAGGAGGTTAATCTTGAATTCTGCGAGACTTCCCTAATCAATATACGAGGTTTGGAAACATGGTAGTCTCTTGCAATAGTGCTCAGATGATCAATCTTTAATTCTTGGTTAAATCCCAGCACTGTCTGGGGATTGTTACCAAAATCGAGTAGGTGGTGGTATAATGGTGACCGCACTGGACCAATGATTCAGAAACCCAAACTAAACCTTTGGGGTAATGGGTTCAAATCCCATCATAACGGCTGATGAAAGTTAAATTCAGTTAATGAATAAAGATTAGTAATGCTGGCCACAAAACCATTGTGGATTTTGGAGGGGAGAAAACATTTAATTTACTGATGTCCTTTAGCAAGGACAATCTGCCATCTTTATCTGGCCCGGGCTACATGTAATTCCAGACCCCAAACAATCTGGTTGACCCCTAATTACTTGTTTATTCATTCACAAGATGACGGCATCGCTGGCTAGGCCAGCATTTGTTCTCCATCCCTAATTGCCCAGGGGGCAGTTGAGAGTCAAGCACATTTCTGTAGGTCTGGAGTCATCTAGAAGCCAGGCAGGTAAAGACCATTAGTGAACTAGATGCTGATTGTCAGGAAAAACACAATGGATTCATGGCCATCATTAGGCTCTCAATTCCAGATTTTTATTGAATTCAAATTCCATCATCTGTCATGGTAGGATTTGAACCCAGGTCCCTAGAACATTACCTGGGTCTCCAGACTAACAGTCTAGCCATAGTACCACTAGGTAAATGCCTGCCCCCTTAAATGGCCCGGTGAGCCACTCAGTTCAAGGCGAATTAAGGATGGCACAAATTCTGGCCTTATCAGCAAAGCTCGCATCTTAAGAATGCATACAAGAAAAAAATATTGATGGCTGTCTATTCAGCCTCTTCATTCGAATAATTGGTCACTGCTGCTCCCTGCAAAACCTTTTCATTCTTCAGCATGCTCTGTTGGTGTGAATGTTGGCAGGTGGTCTTTTGATGCTGTTTGGTGAGCTTCTTTTAGATTCCTTTGCTCAGTTGTGGCGTGAGCCAAATATTTAGATATTCAGCTGAATGTGAAATGGCCTATTGGTTTAGGATATGCAAGAGTTAATTGTTCCTGACCACAGAGGCAAGCTGCGGTTCAGTTTGCTCCATTGAGCAGGCAGGTGGGAAAAGCTGGTGAATCTTTTAATGCACGTGTGAAGTGCTCAGAATATAAACAGGAAATCCTAGTTGCACTCAGCCTGTTTTGTCAGGAGCTCTTTTGAATGATCGTGTATCTGAACGTGAAGCCTTGCTTGCACTTTGTAGAAGCTGCCGTATCCGATGTGTCTTTCCCATATTTCTGCCTTTATTTCAGATTTACAGTCTTTCACTTTTTAAAAAATTCATTCATGGGATGAGGACATTGCTGGCTAGGCCAGCATTTATTGCCCATGCCTAATTGCCTGCAGGGCAGTTAAGGGTCAACCACATTCCTGTAGTCACATTTTGGACTGATCAGGTAAGGATGGCAGTTTTCTTCCCTAACGGACATTAGTGAACATGGACTTTCCTGACAATCAACAATAAATTCATGGTTATTATTAGAATCTTTAATTCCTGATATTTATTGAATTCAAATTCAACTGTCTGCCCTGGTGGGATTTGAACCCAGGTCCCCAGAGATCATTAGCTGGATCTCTGTCCAGTAATAATACCGCTAGGCCATTGCCTCCTTTTGTTTTCATACTGCCTTTGTATTTGCATTCAGACCCTTGTGACGGTAGGGTATATTACTTGCAACCCTTTGCTGCTTTTCACTTTAAGTAGCCAGTGGTCTTTAAATGGAAAATAATCCTGTTGTTTTAAAAATTGATATGAATTGCTCTGGTTCAAATATGGATCAGACAGGTGATTGCCGTACAATAATCTTATGTAGAAATCACTGAAATCAATATTCTACTTTCAGTTCCTCTTGCACTGCATGAATAACACAGGTTTTCGCATGTCGGCTCAACTAACCCTTGGCTTTAGGCATGCGATCGTATATGTGGTTGGGGTTAGTTAACTTTGTGCTAAAAGACTAGCTTCAGCAACAGCTGAGGTCGACTGCATGTGATCTGATTGACCACACATCAAAATGCTAACTTGTTAAAACTCAGTTTGGGTCTAGCGCAACTTAACAGGTTGTCCTAAATCTGTCTTGTTGTTCTAGTCGAGGTGCAACTTCGTTAGAACCCCTCCCTTGGAATCAGAAGTTTGAGGGTTCAAATCCCACTCCAATCATTTGAGCACAAAATGCGGGCTCACACTTTCAGTGCAGTACTCGGGTTGGGGGGGGTTCTGCTACGGCATCAAAGGTGGTATCTGACTCAATATCTCCTGAAACTCAATGTTATATTTTGTTCTGAAATGTACCTATGATGTGCCTTTGTTTTTGTTTATTACATTAAAGGTGCTAAATAAATAAATACAAGCTGTTCTGAACAAATGGAAATTTGAAACACAAAAGGCTGGGTGTCCTGTTTTGACGAAGGGTCATTGGACCCAAAATGTTAACTCTGATTTCTGTCCACACATGCT